GGGCTGGTGGAGGTGTCCCTGCCCATGGCAGGGGCTGGGCTGGGGGAGCTTTAAGGTCTCCTCCAATCCAAGCCATGCTGTGATTATATTATATTATATACTTTCAAACGAAAGGAACGTAACCTGTACGTAACGTGCAGTGACACTGGCTAGAGGGTGCTGGCTCTCGTTCTGCAGGACATGCGCTATCTGCCAGGCAGAAATTTCCCTCGCCCATGTAAAGACGTTCAATATTTTAAGCGCTATATAACTGACAGACTATAGGTTAACATTTTCTCTCCACCTCTTCCCTGTGCAGCGTTCCCCAATGGCTTCTGTGGCCAGATACCCCACTGCCTGTCCAGCCTGGTATTTCCTTGCTCTGGGAAGTACTTACAGAAGCTGCCACTCTAACAGATGTTTGTAGTGTCTCTCACAGCAAGGGATGAATCTGCAGAAAACGGCACCCAAGGCACCACTTGGAAGAAAATTAATTTTCTTTTTCAGTGTCTCCTGAATATTCAGTCCAAATATACCAGAATTTAACAATGTTTCAGTAGTTTCTTTCAGACATTAAGACGCTCGTACGTACAAAACTCCAAAGAGCACACGTTGGAATAGTTTAGAGCGCGTTTATGAACACGTGACGTATGTGTCTGCACTGGAAATCCAAAGACAACATGGAACATGCAAAGGTGGTGGTCAGGACATCTGGATGTGTCTAACCATGCTGTTCACCCTTTAGGAAACAGTAGGACAATGGCGTTAGATTCACTCAAAACTACTTGGCCTGGCTGTCATTTGTGCTCAGGAAGTTTTATCCATAAAGTACGTCGCTTGGAGACTTTACAGAGCTATGGAGATGGCACACAGCACCACAGCCTAGCAAATTCTTACTGTTACTGTGTGTGTGCACTCCGATGCTGGACATTTTCAGCACTAAACCAAGTGACACCTAAAGGGTTAACACCACAAGTTTAGACAGGATGAGACAGCATTTTCCATGCAAGAGTGAGCAGGATAGTCAAACCTGTGCTGGTCCCTTCTACTGTGGGGAGCACAAGACAAAAAGTAGAGGGTACACTATCAGAACAGGCATGCACCACTTCCACACATTTGATCTGCAGGCAGCCGAAGTGCTGAGGACACCAGTTCTCAGAGCAGCCTGAGCGCACACTGCCGCGCAGCTCGTGTGGGCTTTGCTCTAAGCACGGCACACTCTACAGCCATGCTCAGCTCCACAGCGTGAACCAGCACCCAAAACGTTCCCTGAAAAACTGAACGGGTGTGTTTGTTTAACTCCTCCTCAGCCCACCCACATCTTTGCATCATTTTAAACTGCTCTTCGCTCAGGGCAGGCTCTGGAAGAAGGGAGCCCTTTCCACCTCAGATCTGCCCAGAGGAATTCAGTGTGGTTTGGGCTGGAGTTCCCCCAGCGCTGACTTGGGCTCAGCTCTCTCCCCAGGATCAGACAAGCACTGCAGGCACGGGGGCTCTTACCGGTAGGAGGCTGCCCGTAGGACGTTGCATACGCAGTCTGCCCGTACGTCGCAGTCGTCTGGGGCTGTGTGTAGCTGACCTCGGTGGGTTGTCCGTAGGTTCCGTAACTCTGCCCGTATGTCTGCTCCAAAGACGATACAAATTTAATTCATGAACAGAAGTGACTCATGGGCATTGCAGAAGTACACACAGACTGTTTCAGTGACGCACAGAGAGTGGGGGATCTGTGTTACTTGATGTACTGAAAGCAACCAGACTCAAGCCAAGGCTACCGTGAAAGTTTGGAGACTACTGCAAATCCCAGATCAGATCTGCGATGAAGTTACAAACGCTGTTTTCCAATGCCAGGACCAGAGGGTCAGCCTCTTACATTTTCACAATACACTCTGCTTTATGTAAAGCAAAACATGAAAGCATCCAGCACTTCATCATCGCCTGGGCACCCATAACACCCACACAGGTACCTCCTGAGGGCTACCCTGCAACACAGAGACTGGGACTACTCGGAGGGCAGAACTGCCCAAAGTAAAACAAGTCCGTTACTTCAGCATAGAACTGCTTCAGCAGTCACTGGAAGAAACCTACTTAAGCTTTCAATTAATTTATTCTCAATATTCTTCATATCCACCGGCCAATAGTTTGAAAAATAGGCGTTTAGGCAGGTATCTGAGGATTGCATCAGAGTTCCAGGGCTCGCCATCACCAACTATCCCGGTTACAACTACCCCTGTCCCAGAGCCTTCGCACTCAGTGAGACATCAGCTCTCAGCTCGCACCCTCCCTGGAGCTCATTTTCAAGTCCAGGCTATCACTGAACAACTGCTTCTGTCCGCTGTCTGGCTCTGTCTTCACGCCAAAGACAGCCCTGTGAAACAGCTCCTCAGCCGTGGTGATCCGACGGGCAGCTCAGGGCGGCTGGATTAGCCTGGAGCTGCTGGTGCTGCAGTTTTACTGGCTAAAGAGCTACCTCAGCCCTGTGCCATGGACCACCCGGCTCAAACTCCAGGCACCAGCGTGTTTACCCACTTCCAACAGCTTTGTGTGGCCAGCAGTTCAGTTTAAGATAAAATCCTAGTTACAGGTCAAGATGCAGCAAAAAGACGAGCCTCGATGTCCAGATTGCCAAAGGTATTTACTGACCACTGTGGGAGCTCAGAACTCAAATGCCTTTTGGGATCTACACCTGTGTCCCTTGTGAGCCAGTCTCCCCGAACTCAAGCCACGGATCCTAACCAAGCGCAGAAAATCTTTGACCAGATGGAATATTTCACTGTCTGTGGAAGCTCACTACACCAAGAGCTAGGAAGCACTGCAAATCTACCATGGCTATTTGCCTAGACCTGAGTTTAGCTGGTTTAGTCTCCCATGAGAGGATGTTGTTGAGGCCCTCTGTTCTTACACTCGTCCTGCCGTGTAACCTGCACATCTGTTAGCAGTTCTCACAACTGTTCAGTCTCAAAATGCTTATTCAAAATAAAAATTACCATCACCTTCGTGTAAGCCGACCCAAATGCTGAGACTGAACCTACGCTCCTCCTGTAACACCGACATTTTTCACAAAGAGCTTCCTTACCCTGCTGCAGGACCGAACACGTGCAGTATTCGGGCAGCCTCACCTGCCTCGTGCTGGACAGTGCAGGCAGCAGCAGCCTGAGCGGGCAGGGGATGGCAGCTCCCACACAGCCCCACAGCCAAGCTGTTGCCACAACCAGAATTAACTGATTTGAAGCTGCTTGGTAATGATTCAGCACAATGTAATGGGGTTTATCTCCGTAATACAGATATACTCTCAGGTGGCAGGATTTTCCCTTCAAAAACCTCTCTGGAGAGTGGGGGGAAATCAACCTACACCACTTTTTAAGGACAAAATTTTACCTTTGGAAACATACTTGGAGGGCATACACCAATACGGTTTTATAACCTCTATTCTAAGGATTAAAAATGAGCAGTTTAATTTGTCTCTTGAAGATCAACACCATTTTGCAGTCTAGCCTGCTCAGAGTAACAATGGTTTTAGCAACACTATCCCCATAAAAACTCTATTCCCTTCTCCTCCTTTGCCCTCTCTCCTTTGTGAGATGCTGCCACCTCACAAATGGTAATTTCTTCCTTTTCTTTTCCCCTGAGTTTTTCTCTCCTACACCGCTGAGTAAAACACCCACCAACACGGCCGTGTCAAACACACACCGAGAACGGGGCTTTTCCAACGCTCTCAGCAAGCACCTCAGGCTTGGACACATTAACAAAGACGGGGACTGCTGAGGCTCCTCGATGTTCAGGCTGTTTTCACTTGAAGAACAGCGCATGGCAAGCTACAGAACTATTTCTAACGACAGATTTCAATGTCGCCGCTCAGTGTTTCTGGTGGCTGGCAGAGCCCCGCGTAGTTTATACCAGAAGACGTGGGATGCAGTGGCAACTGTAAAACCATCCTGTGTTTTACCTGGGTGGTCTGTGCATATCCTTGAGCTGGCTGAGGTGCGTACGCGCTGTAGCTGTAAAATTAATTTAAAGACATTTATAATGCATCCTCGTATTCCCGACTTGTGCAAAACATATCTCGCGAGACAATGTCTACACATCCAAATGATTTCTGCTGAAATACTACGGCAATGCAAGATCTAAAAGCGAAAGGAAAACCTCAGGATTTGCAAACATACCCGAGTTAAGACTAAACTGCAATTATTATATACTTATATGACATCTTTTTAAACAGAGGGGATCAGACTGTAATGCTACTTACCCCTGCTGAGCTGCAGCTTGGCTATAGGTACTGTAATCTGCAAGGAAAAGGAAAAAAAGGTTGAGAAAGGCTTAAGAAAACTAACAGTGTAAGAGCACAGCAGCTGGAATTTCCTCCTGCAGCTTGAAAGAACTGCTCTAAACCACTGGAAATCCAGTTACAAAACAGCACAAGGTAAACGCACTTTTTCAGTCTTTTTGAAGGAAACAAACCCTCTTTTCCCTTCATTGTTCCTGCAGTTTGCAGCAGTAACTTTGATCTCAAATGACCCCACTTTAATTTAACTGCCACCTTGGATGACACCCAAGGGGACTGGCAGGAGGGTGTTTTGTCTCGAAATAAAAGAAACACTGGGGCTGACACTTACAACCCCCCCACCAAACATTTCAAAGGGCCAGGTTGTAAAATTTGGGTCTGTAGAAACCGCCACGCTTTCTGTTTAACTTTCAAGGACGCAAACAAATGGCTGGAAAGTTCTAACGCTTGTCCCTGAGCAGGGGCTGATGGGCAGGAATTCCTTCCCTATCACCCCATCCACACCAGTCCCCTCACTTAGAGAACTGAAATCCTGAAAATCCAAGCAGAAGAGTCGATGCTGAACTGGTTTGCTGGCAGGAGTGGAAAATGCGCCCGCATGGCAATTACAGGGCTGTATTTGAAATGATTACAGCTCCTAAACGTACGCTTTCCCTCCAAGTCACCAACCAGCTCCGGTTCCCATCCAAACCTCTAGAGCAGACGACGAATTCAGCGCTCAGACCAGGCCTTGCCAGCCGGATTCCAGCTCTCCCAGGACCACAGAAGTCACAAGGACAGAGCTCAGGAAGGGGGTTTCGGTGTTTCTCTCACGAGAGCACCTCGGGGTACACTCATCTCGGTTAGAAAACTCACTGATGAACCTGAAGAACCCAACTTCCTGCAGTCCTGAGTCCTCCCGAGAGCGTAAGGACGGCTTTACCGCCTCCATCCCTTTGCTCACGACTGAAGGTGACGGAGAACCAGGAACCATTTTTAAAATACTCCTTTACACACCAGAACCTCCTGCTTCTGGAGGCCACGGATTCATCCCTAAGAAAGCTTTCCCCCTCCTAACCCCTCCACACGAGCTTACAGCTTCTGCTCTTTTTCCCTTCCCTCTGCTGCTGCTGGAGCTCAGGTCCTGGGCTGCGCGTTGACGGCCAAGGCAAGGAAGTGCAATGGCTCTGGCAGTGATTTACGACAGATCTCAACTACTTCGACCTTGCATCAGAGCGCAGGAGCCGGCACGAGCACACGAACACAAGGAAGACGATGGGAACACCGCGCACAGTAAAGACACCGAGCCGCTCTCCACGGCTTCCCCGCTCCCGAGACGCAGCGCACAAGCTGTTAAACTCCTCTGGCACCACTCCTGCTCTCCTCGCAGGTTGTCACTTCTAATATTGAAAAATTTTGCTTGCTAAATTCAGGGTCATTGCTCTTTTTTTTTCCCCAGTCTACATGTGACTCTAAGTTCTGCTAAATCCTGAGTGCTAAAAACCTTAACCGCCCAGCCCTCCTCAACCACCTTCCCTCTCCTACCGCCTCCTCACGCCAGCACCCCTCGGTCCTCCCCCACGTCTCACCGTGCACCCTCCTCCACCCCCGCCTCCTCTTTTCCAAGCCTGCTCACCCTCCAGCTACCAAAACCTCCCTACTCCTCATTTAATTCTCATTTTCTGCACCCTGTCGGGTGACCACCGTCCTCCAGGCTGTTCCAAATGGCCAGGCTGAGCATGGACCTCTGCAGCCTTCGCCCCTCGCTGGCTGATCCCCAGCAACCTCAGAGCTGCTGGGACCTTGAGCTACGCACAGGACCTTCACCTGAACGCCCACCACACCCCCTGCTCCAGCCGTCCCCGAGTCCTACCTGGACACGGCATCTTCCCCTTTGTAGGATTTAAATCCAAGTGCTGAATTTGCAATTTGTCTCCAGTGATCCCTCCCTCCTAATTTGCTCAAATTTAGATTAATGCAAAACGTTTAAAAAAAACCCCACTGCGGTTCATTTAGCTAAAACCCTCTCTGAGCCTTTACTTCCAGTGGGAAATTAATCTTCATCCTTCTATTTCATGAGGCTCAAGAGCACAATAGCACAGCTGAAAATAGCAGCTCCCAAGGAAGAATATTTCCATGTATTAAGCGGAAAGACAGCTGGATTTTTGAACCCCATTTTAACAATCCCATCGGCACATGTTTCTTTACTAACGTGGCTTTTTTCTCCTTAACCTCCCCAAGGTGACACCAGCCACATCCCCTCGCACTCCGCGGCTGTGACACTTTCCTCCGCGGAGAGCTCCGACCTTTGGCTGCTGGGCTTTAAGACTGCTTTAAATGCAATGTTGCCACGGTTGGTAAGTCTCAATTTTGACCTACTTACAACCAGTTGGAGCCCTCGCGTAAAAGCACGTTTCCTTCTAGAACGCTTTGCTGGTTTTATTCAAATAAATCACATTTGCACCAGAAACTGTCCTGAAAGCAACCAGAAAGGTGGAAGGCGTGGAGGAAGCCTTCCGTGAGGACAGCGAGATCCTGAGATAGCAAAACTCAAAGAATCTTCTGGGGCTGGGGCACCAAGGCCCCGCTGTTGTAAACAACCCTTTCACAAACACCGGGAGCGAGAATCCCGGGCACTGCCGCCCCAGGGAGGCACCGGAGGGTCCCGGGGACAGCGCTGCCGGGAGTGACGAGCTGGGTGGGGTCCAGGAAGGCCACAAAGCCGGGAGAGAGCCCGCCAGCCCAGCGCAGGGGAGCCGGGCCCGGTGCT